TCCTAATTTTTAGTTAAACACAGTTATTTTATAAATTAATTAAAATGTTGAGATAAAAAGTTTTATTTGGTAATTTGGTAAAAAATTAGTTACTGACTAAAATTTAATGCTTTTTATTTTAGTTTGAAAATATCTTTTTTTATAATCTAAAATAATATCAACCTTAGCTATCCTTGCAATAAGTAATTGATGGTTATAAAAGGTCTTAACATGTATTTTTATTAGATTGAGACAAGCATTAATTTAATTCACAATTAAAACAGGATCCATTTTATACACAAAAACCATTTTTATCAATACACATCCCTTTTTTTGTATTAATTAACTAGCAGGTATTTGTTGTTTGATCTAAACAATATTTTTCAACCGCACACATTATCTTTATTATGAATATAAATAAATATATAAAAATTTAATTTAAAATTAAAATTTACTGCTTAAGGTTATCCCATCTATAAGCATAATTAGGTGTCTTTTTATATACCTATAATATTTAATTTGTAGATAAAAATCTAAAATTTATTATTATTATAATTTACCAATAGTATTTGGATTACTAAAGTCTAATTTGAAACAAGATGCTTTATTTGTTAGGGGGTCTGTCAATAAGCAGTACCTATTATTTAAAATATATTATAATTTTCACTTTTATTATTTATAAACAAAATATTTGCAAAAATATTACCCATTTTTATAACAATTAGAGGCTCCATTCTAACCTTATGACTATTCTTATAAACATATTTATGTTACATTTTCTTAGCCTGGATGACTATCTGATAAAGGTATGCATGCTCCAGAAGATATACAATATTACTACTGGCAAATTATAGCAACTTAAGCTCCTTATGGAAGACATTATTGGTTAAAAAAATTTCTGCCTATTTTATTTGGGTCATTAGAGTTCATTACTTCGCATTTATTATTAGTATATTGATTGATACAATATAAACCGTCTAAACATCCAATGCTATTTTCTTTTTAATTTGAAATCTTATAAAAAAGAAAAGTTTTCGTTTTTTAATTACCTTTGTTAAGTTCTTAACAAGTTTAGTTTGCATTTTTTGCTTAGTAAGATAGACTTGGATATTTAGGGTCACTTAACTAAAGCATTTGACATGTGTAATTCCCTTTTCTTACATTCATTAAAATAAATAAGCAATTTATTATAAAGATTATTATTAATAAATGTAAAAATAATTTTTATATTTATATTTAACTCACCCAATATCAAGAGCACAATATGTCAAGCCTAAACATGATTTTATTTCTTTTTGATAAAAATAAGTTAAAATAATGACTGATAATTTCTTTTAATTTACAAACTCTCGTTATTTGGTTTTTAATTAAACACTAGCCTAAAGTGTCGATTCCAACAATAAAATCTCCCAAAGCATAGATACCCTAAGAAAGACAGAAATTTTTCTTTGAAATTTGATCTGTATAAAAGCAACTACCATCTACACAAGTTTCAATATCACCTCCTTCATATTTTGGATCTAAATAAGGAAGGCATATACCAGTTATTCTTTCTCTTGAAAATCTATTTTAATCAAAAGATAATAACAGAGACTGGCATGAATTTCCAAAAAGAGTATTTAAGCAAAACTATCCTGGCATGCATCTTTTATTAAGATAAATTGTAGTTGATTTTCAACTTATTAAATAGATATTACTTGATAGCATTTGGTTAGTCTTAATAAAGACAATATCCATTTTTATCTATCCCTATTCTTTTTATAGATGCATCCCAAAGAAAACATCCTGGTTAAGTAGTAGGATCATCTGGATCCTAGTAATCAATGCAATATTTGCTTGAACATTACAAAATTTCTTTTAA